GGAAAGGTGTGAGTGTGCTGCCTAGACAATGGTCAGGACATGGGGAAAAGTGTGAGTGTGCGGCCTAAGCAATGGTCAGGACACGGGAAAGGTGTGAGTGTGCTGCCTAGGCAATGGTCAGGACACGGGAAAGGTGTGAGTGTGCTGCCTAGGCAATGGTCAGGACACGGGAAAGGTGTGAGTTTGTGCTGCCTAGACAATGGTCAGGACACGGGACACGGGAAAGGTGTGAGTGCTGCCTAGGCAATGGTCAGGAAACCAGCACTGATAGGTGGCACTGATGGGCAGCACTGATGGGCGGCACTGACAGGTGGCACTGATAGGTGGCACTGCTGGGCATAGGTTGGCGGCACTGATGGGCACAGTTGGACAGCACTGATGGGCACAGGTAGGTAGCACAGGTGAATGGTACTGATCATCAGGGCACTGATCATCAGTGCCCTGATGATCAGTGCCAATCTCTTCTTTGACAATTGCCGGTTATCGGCAGCAGGGGCGGACTGACCATTTGGAAACTCGGGCACTGCCCGAGGGCCCGGGGTCAGTAGGGGGCCCCATGAGATGCCCCTGGTACCTTTTTTCATAGGCTTTTTTGAGTTTGGGCAAGGACACAGGGGCCCCATGATCCCCTATTGCCCGGGGGGCCCCATGAGTTGTCAGTCCGCCCCTGGTCGGCAGTACTTTCCTCACACTGTGACAGCATGAGGAAGGTGCAGCCGATAACCGGCAACTGTTTTTACCGGTGGTCATTGTGTCATTGGACACGGCTGATCACGTAGTAAAAGGCCGCTGTGATTGGCCTTTTACCACATCACGTGATCAGCTGTGTCCGTAGGACAGAACTAGACAACTGCGCTGTAGCCGCCTAGAGGTTAATTACCGCATGCATTTCATTATTTATTTCCTTCTGTGAATTGGCTTTAAGGTCTTGGTATTTGCCGAGTGTCTGCTATTTATGGTACAGTAAATACCTCATACTAGCAATAGTAAATTGACATTTTCAGTATTGCATGTAATATGTGGTCACCTAACCGACATAACGCAAACGATAACGTTTAGTGAATTGTCCCCATTGACTCAGAACATAAACCAGAGAAGTACCCCAACCCTTGCCACCAATCACTCGTTGTGTTCATTCAGGAAATTAAGGGGCTGGTAAATGTGACATATTTACGGACTCTTCCCCCACTCTTCATCCTAAGGATCATATAGTTTATTTGTAGCTGGGAAGGACAGAAGAGAAAGGGGTGGGGGGCACACTGGGGGGGGGGGGGGGGAGGGGGGTCTTGGGCAGCACGGGGAAATGTATGGTGCCTTGGAAGGTGCTGCAGAGAGGGCTATACGGGGGATCAGTTCCAATAATTGCCAACGCCCCCCCCCCCCCCACTGTGCTGATCTCCCTCCCTGCCCACATCTGCTTCACCTGGCTGCCTGGGCCCTCCTGCTGGTCTGGGCCCCATACAGGAGTGCCATGGTACCCCCTTATCCATTGCCCTGCATGTCATTGGGAAGTCATTGGTGTATTTCCAGGAATGTGACTAGGGTTGAGTTCCTCTCTGGTTTATGCTATGAGCCTTAAACTCTGTTTTTGTGAGTTTAAATGTCAACCTTTGCATTATTGTAAGAAATGGTGCCTCAACTACTAGCGCCTATCTATCTAACTACACTGACTTTTCACTGCAAGAGATCCCTGAACTTACTCTCACAACTGTGATGGACTGCCTGGCACCCCACCTGGGTGCCTTCGCCAAAGAGCTGCTTTCTTGCTGCTGGAACACGGTATTATAGCTGGGAATTGCACCCAAGAACTAGACAACACTAGCTTTGGTGCAAGCAGGAACAGTTTTTATTGAAAATTCACACAGAATGTATACCACACAAAATCAGATGAGAGCTTGGTCACATTATCCTAAACAATGCAAACTTTGAACAGTAATATCATCAGTACATAAAACAGTACATCTAATGAACAGCTAGCAGTTAACAGTAACCTAATTAAACAGTGATCTAATTAACAGTAGGCTAATCAACAGCCAGGTACCCAGGCCAGCTTTGATCAGTCAGGGAGCCCACCCCAGACAGTCCAACAGCAAGTCCACAGCCCTGAATACACAAAGTACATTACACATGCTTTCTTTCAAGTGTTTGGCTTTCACTTGTGTAATCTGTCCACTAGAAAAGTCATCATAAGACAAAACACATTCAATGTTCCAACAACGTAATAGTAAAATGTAACAGTGAGTGCTCTAATAAAGCAGCTGGACATTCAAGGAAACCATATAAAACCTTGTGAAATAGCAAAAGAAGTAAAATGCGGCGCTAACAAATGAAAGGTACTAATGATACAGATGTACAAACAGTGTGGTAAAATGAAGATCAATACAAATAAAAATGGCACTAACGTGCAATAAAGTTCTGTGAAGGTGCTCTCTGCGTTTCCAGTGCATATGATAGAAATGCGCACTAACCAGAAGCGTAATCAAAATGCGCGGTGTGAAATTATCCTGAAGATCCCCCTCTTTTTGTTCAGAAATTGGACTGGAACTGAAGAAAATAAGGAAGGAGCACCCTCGTGTGGTGGAGATGGGATCCAGAAGGTCAGAGATCCCCTTCCAGTAATGTGTAGATAGGAAAACCTTGATGGTAAACACACTTTCCCCTCTCTGGAGCTGATGGATCCCGTCCAGGCTCTGAAATGTGAAAAGCTCCTCACAGGAGACCAAGGGAAATACTCATGGTGTAGATAAAATCTTTATTCGAGCAAATACAGCAAGGGTGCAGTGAATCGCAGTATCAGGTAAAACATGAATGACTGACCATCCAGTGTCTAAGATGGCCACCGGGCCTCCACGTGGCACCGGCGGTGTGACGTCACGACATCCTGGGCTCCACCTGACGCACTTCTTCAGAGGCAGAGACGAATGTTCCAACAATCTGAAAAAGTGGAATTAAATTATCTTCATAGATTTCTTGAGGGAGATTGTTGATAAATATTTCAACCCCAAGTGGAGGAGCTTCTCCAACCTGAAGGAAGGCCACCATATTTCCTCTGACCATTCACCTGTACAAGATTATTATTACGCCTTTCCATCAACACCATAAGGAAAGCTTTGTCTTTATTCAGAGAATTAATCCAAGCCTCGTTCTCGGCGTTCATCACGTTGTTGTCCATCATTAGAGAATGATCTACTCTCTCCATGGGATCAGAGGCTGAACTGAGCTCTTTTCCATGCTCTGACCAAAAGAAGCAGACAAAATCCCTGGTCTCCTCCAAGGGTCATAATCATAGGGTGGAAGGCTAGCCCCTAGTCCCCTCCAAAAGCCCTGGTCCTGGTCTGTCTGTCTGTCACAATAACTAACTATAGTGATACCTTGTGGCCAAGGAACCAAACCAGACACTCACATGACCCTACCCTACTCACATATCCTAAAACATTGTATTAACATCTATTGGCAGTTAATGTGTGTGACTGTAAATCCACCAGGTTCATGGGCTACGCTTGGCTGTGTTGGTGGGGCCAATCGCCCAGCGCTTGGGGTACCTTTCCCGTGCATGCACTCATCAGCGCCGTGGGGCAAAGCGGCAGCCACGTTCAGGTGAAGTCAACCTCAAGGCAGGCCCCGACTTAGAGATGAACCATGCACCGTATGCAGTAAATGTCTGTATTAGTCCCAGTGGAACTTGTTATCACTACACACCTTGACTGTTAACTGTTGCATTAAGAAGGGACATCGCTTAGCCTATGTCTTCTCCAACCATCCAGCATACCTCTGCCACCTCACTCCCAGTGACAGAAAGGGATCCCGCTGTGCACCTGCAGGGACCTCATGCGTGCACTTAACTCTTCTCTCTCCCGCTGGTTAGGCTGAGGGTCTCCGAAACGCTGGTCCGGTCCCAGTGGCAATAGAAAACCAACCGTTGGGGAGGGAGCCAAAGCAGCGACTGGAGGACATCTCACCTTACCCAGGTACCATGCTTCACGACAGGCTCCTGAAACACTTTACACCAGTCCTTGGTTACCGTAGCTGAGTTAATCTCTTGCGACTGACCTGCTTGACACCCAGTACGTGCCTTAAATGACCCAAGTTAGTTTAGCTGCCATTTGACCATCAAACACCCCTTTACTAACTTCAGACCACATTTAGAAAATGGTTTAATAACTTCACTGGAAGTTCGATAGCCAAACATGATAAAGTGAAACACAGTTCCAAGTCCTAACCCTAACTAGCTGTTCAGACTTGTAGCTGCCAAGGCATGCCTCAAAAGGTGATAGTCCAACACTGGAGAGAGTCCATACTTGAAAGTTCTCCAAAATGGTCAGCATCTTTGAGCAGACGGCAGGGTCTAGCAGTCCCCATCCACAAAGCGGTGTCACGGCATCTCCAAACTGGGACCATATAACAGACCAGGACAAGGCACAGGTCACCTAAAGCACACTGCCATGGACCAGATCCCCAAGGGCCCTGGTACCCAGCCCCCCCCCCAACTTTATAAGCAGCACATGGTGGGTAAGTTGGGTCCAAAAAGCCTGCAAAAAGGAAAAGGCAAGTTTAACCCCTTCCCTGAACCAGCCATAGCTCACTAGCTAACAGTAGGTAACCTGCTTACAAATATGGGGTAGCTCTGGGTAAATCTAAGTAGACTTGTGTGGATTTGTGTATCATACAGTAAATAGCTAATGTGAGAAAATGAGAGCACCTGTCCTGGCTCCTGTGGCTTCTTAATGAAATTCTGCTGTATTCTATTCATATCCTGCTGCAGACTCAGCTCATGTCTGTACACAGATCATGAGTAATAGTGCAGCAGATGTTGCCAATAAAATTTTGTAATGCGTGAAGTAAGACCGATATACCTGCAAAATACTTGGCATGTCGACATTTCCCTCATTGTCTGATCTGCTTCTGGTTTATTACGTTTTAATTCACTAATTACATCCTGAGTTTTATATAAAGACCACGTCCCAGCTTGTTCTGTACATTTAAAGTCTGGTACAGACATCACACATGGTTTGATGAGTTTGGTGTGTAGGAACCAGGGGCGGACTGACCATTCGAACACTCGGGCACTGCCCAAGGGCCCGGGGTCAGTAGAGGGCCCCATGAAATGCCCCTGGTACCTTTTTTATAGGCTTTTTTGGGTGTGCTTTGGTGGGAAAGGACACAGGAGCCCCATGATCCCCTATTGCCCGGGGGCCTCATGAGTTGTCAGTCCGCCCCTGGTAGGAACTCGAATAGCCCGCACCTCAACCCTTCTGAACACTTTCAGAAAAAAAAAGAGTGTAAGCAGGTCCTAGCCATCTTCAGTTTTCAACACATGCGCAGCTCAGCTTACAGAGCCGGAAAAGACAGCAGGCAGGCAGGTAGGGACATTCAGTCCTGCACATGCACAGGAGTTAGTCATCCCAGCACTCAGAGACTGAACTAGCGTTGTATGCTGAGCTGCGCATGCTCAGCTCAGTTTACAGAGCTGGGGAAGACATCAGGCAGGCAGGTAGGGACATTCGATCCTGCACATGCACAGGAACTAGTCATCCCAGCACTCAGACTGAACTAGCATTGTAAATTGAGCTGCGCATGCGCAGCTCAGTTTACAGAGCTGGGGAAGACAGCAGGCAGGCAGGTAGAGACATTTAATTGAAGAAGAGAGATATCATGACTCTTCTGCAATTAAATCCTGCCTGCTTAGTGCTTTTTACAGCAAAATGTTAGTTCCACTTTATCGCTGGAGCGGTATGACGTCACTCCTGCACATGCATAGGAGCTAGTCATCTCAGCACTCAGAGACTAAACCTGCATTGCAAAGTGAGCTGTGCATGTGCAGCTCAGTTTACAGAGCTGGGGAAGACAGCAGGCAGGCAGGTAGGGACATTTAATGGCAGAAGAAACATTGCATGACTCTTCTGCAATTAAATCCTGCCTGCTCACTGTTTGTTACAGCAAAACTTTAGTTCCACTTTATTGGCTGGAGCAGAATGATGTCACTCCTGCACATGCATAGGAGCTAGTCATCTTAGCACTCAGAGACTGAACTAGCGTTGTAAGCTGAGCTGCGCATGCACAGCTCACTTTACAGAGCCGGGGAAGGCAGCAGGCAGGAAGGTAGGGACATTTAATTGAAGAAGAGAGATATCATGACCAGGGGTGGACTGACAACTCATGGGGCCCCCCGGGCAATAGGGGATCATGGGACCCCTGTGTCCTTGCCCGCACTCAAACCACACCCAAAAAAGCCTATGAAAGGTACCAGGGACATCTCATGGAGCCCCCTACTGACCCCGGGCCCTCGGGCAGTGCCCGAGTTCCCCAATGGTCAGTCCTCCCCTGATCATGACTCTTCTGCAATTAAATCCTGCCTGCTTACTGTTTCTTACAGCAAAACGTTAGTTCCACTTTATTGGCTGGAGCGGGATGACGTCATTCCTGCACATGCATAGGAACTAGTCATTTTAGCACTCAGAGACTGAACTAGCGTTGTAAGCTGAGCTGCGCATGCACAGCTCACTTTACAGAGCCAGGGAAGACAGCAGGCAGGCAGGTAGGGACATTTAATTGAAGGAGAGAGATATCATGACTCTTCTGCAATTAAATCCTGCCTGCTTACTGTTTCTTACAGCAAAACGTTAGTTCCACTTTATCAGCTGGAGCGGGATGACGTCACTCCTGCACATGCATAGGAGCTAGTCATCTCAGCACTCAGAGAATAAACCTGCATTGCAAGTTGAGCTGCGCATGCGCAGCTCAGTTTACAGAGCTGGGGAAGACAGCAGGCAGGCAGGTAGGCACATTTAATTGCAGAAGAGAGATATCATGACTCTTCTGCAATTAAATCCTGCCTGCTTATGGTTTCTTACAGCAAAACGTTAGTTCCACTTTATCGGCTGGAGCGGGATGACGTCACCTCTGCACATGCATAGGAGCTAGTCATCTCAGTACTCAGAGACTAAACCTGTGTTTACAGAGCTGGGGAAGACAGCAGGCAGGCAGGTAGGCACATTTAATTGCAGAAGAGAGATATCATGACCGGGGGCTGACTGACAACTCATGGGGCCCCCGGGCAATGGGGGATCATGGGACCCCTGTGTCCTTGCCCACACTCAAACACACACCCAAAAAAGCCTATGAAAGGTACGAGGGACATCTCATGGGGCCCCCTACTGACCTCGGGCCCTCGAGCAGTGCCCGAGTTCCCCAATGGTCAGTCCGCCCCTGATCATGACTCTTCTGCAATTAAATCCTGCCTGCTTACTGTTTCTTACAGCAAAACGTTAGTTCCACTTTATTGGCTGGAGCAGGATGACGTCATTCCTGCACATGCATAGGAGCTAGTCATCTCAGCACTCAGAGACTAAATATGCGTTGCAAGGTGAGCTGCGCATGCGCAGCTCAGTTTACAGAGCTGGGGAAGACAGCAGGCAGGCAGGTAGGGACATTTAATTGCAGAAGAGAGATATCATGACTCTTCTGCAATTAAATCCTGCCTGCTTATGGTTTCTTACAGCAAAACGTTAGTTCTACTTTATCGGCTGGAGCGGGATGACGTCATTCCTGCACATCCTTAGGAGCTAAGGATCTCAGCACTCAGAGACTGGACCGGCGTTGTAAGCTGAGTTGTGCATGCGCAGCTCAGTTTACAGAGCCGGGGAAGACAGAAGGCAGGCAGGTAGGGACTTCTGCAATTAAATCTTGACTGCTTCTTACAGCAAAACGTCAGTTCCACTTTATCGGCTGGAGCGGGATGACGTCACTCCTGCACATGCATAAAAACTTTAGTTCCGCTTTAATATTTTCTGAGCTCTAACAGAATAACATATTATAGGAACTGGTAAGATAGAATATATAATAATTATTTTATCCAGAAAAAAAACAACCTCTGGATAATTGAAATAAATCTTCAACATTGCAAACAAGGCCAACTGACTGTGACTGCCTACTGCTAGTTATACCATGACCTGGATAAAGGAGAACCTTCACAGACATACCCATCTTGCTCAATGCCAGGCCAAGTCTTTGGTGATTCACTAGTTGGCACATGAATTTTATTGTGTTTGTGGGAAAAAATGATGAGCGCGTAATATTATCAACTTATCTGGAAATTTACCCAGCTGGCCCAAACGTAGACTCCGATATAATTGTTATAGCCGCAGCCCCAAACAAAAGGCGTTGGTTTATATGACGTTACATGTTTGGCGAGATTAGATTGGGGATACGCAGTATATAAAGGTGTATTCTGTGCTGGTAAAGAAATGCCCGTAGCAAAAAAGAGAGAAGAAATGGCGCAGGGCATACATGACTAGGCCCAGAGTGGGGAAGGAGGAACAGAAAGGGTTAAGGCAAATCCAAGGGGTTTGTTTTGATAGTGGGGGTATTTGGTTGGTGGAAGGTGGAGGGTAGGTGGGGTTTCCTGCACCTTAGGGTGGGGGGTTTCAGTGAGGGGGCGTCAGTTGAGCTGGAAGTCAGGAGTGTGAGCTTCCCTCTCGCCCTCCCTGTTTTTGGTGAGTATTGGGTCCCTCCAGGTAAAGGGGGGTTATGTTGGTTCCTGGGCGGTTGTTGGTCTTTGGAGGCGGTTCTTATCTTGGAAGGTAAAAACAATGGTGTGGGACCCATCGGTGGTATGGGGGCCCGGGGGACATTCCCAGTTAACCAAGGTTTAACTGGAAGGTGGTGGTGCTGCACTGCGGACGGTATGGTTGTCTCCGAGCTGGTTGGTTGCGGCTGGAGGCCTAGTGTATATCGTTGTCCGCAGGTGCATTTCGGATTGTTTGGGTGGTGCCTTCGAAGACCAACAACAATTCTTTGGGTTTCTGTTATAAGGAATGGTTGGTGTATTTAAATTTGTGTTGTTAATAAAGAGCCATGTTGGCCATTTACTCCAAAATTGGTGTCATGTGTTTTGTAAGTATAATTGGTTAAGTGGAAAGGGGGGGGGGGGGGGTTGGTACGAAACGGTCATGGTGGTAATGGGGAGTGGACAAGCCTATCTCTGGTGCAATAGTCATGATACATTTTTTTCTGTATCGTTTACAAAAAACAATAAGGTTTGACATATATTTATGTATTTCAGGTACTTATATAGCGCCGTCAGTTTACGCAGCACTTTACATATATATTGTACATTCACATCAGTCCCCGCCCCTGAGGAGTGTACAATCTAAGGTCCCTAACTCACATTCATACATACACATACTAGGGACAATTTACACAGGATCCAATTCACCTACAAGCATTTCTTTGGAGTGTGGGAGGAAACCGGAGTACCTGGAGGAAACCCACGCAGGCACAGGGAGAACATGCAAACTCCAGGCAGGTGGTGCCGTGGTTGGTATATGAACCAATGACCCTAATACTGCCAGGCATAAGTGCTAAACATTTAGAGCAACCCAGTGGCTAAATGGTTAGCAATTTCACCTGACAGTATTAGGGTTGCTGGTTCAAATCCCAGCCACAGCTCCATCTGCCTGTAGTTTGTATGTACTGTGTGGGCTTCCTCCAGGTACTCCAGTTTCCTCCCACACTCCAAAGGCATGCTGGTAGGTTCATTGGCAACTGTCTAAATTGGCCCTAGTATGTATGAATGTGAGTTAGGGACCAGGGGCAGACTGACAACTCATGGGCCCCCAGGCAATAGGGGATCATGGGGCCCCTATGTCCTCACCCACATCCAAAAAAGCCTATGAAAGGTACCAGGGACATCTCATTGGGCCCCCCAGTGCCCAAGTTCCCCATAGTCAGTCTGCCCCTGTTAGGGACCTTAGATTTACACCCCTTGAGGGTTAGGGACTGATGTGAATGTACAATATATATGTAAAGCGCTGCGTAAATTGATGGCGCTATATAAGTACCTGAAATAAATAAAATTTAGCCACTGTGCTGCCCATATATACCATGATCAGCACTTTTTTGGGGGGGGAACGCAGTTTTGGCATCTCCAGCACTGAATGTATGTAATGGCAAGGGCTGCTGGGGGGTGTGCTGGAGGGTCTGTTGATGTTGGCTGCTGGGGGATCTATTGTCACTGGAGAAGATCTATTTTTGCATAAGGGTACAGTATATAGTTCCGGGATGGGGGGGTCAAATGTTGCTGGGGGGTCAGATGTTGCTGGGATCTACTGTTGCAGGTGACGTCTTCTGTTGCTGGCTGCTGGAGTATCTATTAATTCTGGCTGCTGGGAGATCTGTTGTTGCAGGGGGTCTAATGTTGCTGGGGTGGTATTTTGTTGTGAGGATCCATTGTTGTTGGGGGGAAACCCACGCAGGCACAGGGAGGACATGCAAACTCCAGGCAGGTGCCGTGGTTAGGGTTTGAACCAATGACCCGAGTACTGCCAGGCGGAAGTATTAACCATTTAGCCACTGTACTTCTCATATATACCATGATCAGCACTTTTTTTCAGCAGGAACATGGGGGGAATGCAGTTTTGGCATCTCCAGCACTGAATGTATGTAATGGCAAGGGGTGCTGGGGGTGTGCTGGAGGGTCTGTTGATGTTGGCTGCTGGGGGATCTATTGTCACTGGAGGAGATCTATTTTTACATAAGGGTATATTGTCCTGGAATGGGGGGTCTTATGTTGCTGCGGGGTCAAATGTTACTGGGATCTACTGTTGAGAGCAGGGCAGACTGACCATTCGAGCACTCGGGCAGTGCCCGAGGGCCCTGGGTCAGTAGGGGGCCCAATGAAATGCCCCTGGTACCTTTTTATGGGTGTGCTTTGAGTGTGGGCAAGGACACAGGGGCCCCGTGAGCCCCTATCGCCCGGGGGCCCCATGAGTTGTCAGTGCACCCCTGGTTGAGAGAGAGGTCTTCTGTTGCTGGCTGCTGGAGGATCTATTAATTCTAGTTGCTGGGAGATCTGTTGTTGCAGAGGGTCTAATGTTGCTGGGGTGGTATCTTGTTGTGAGCAGGGGCGGACTGACAACTCATGGGGCCCCCGGGCAATTGGGGATCATGGGGCCCCTGTGTCCTCACCAACACCCAAAAAAGCCTATGAAAAAGCCAATGAAAGGTACCAGGGGCATCTCATGGGGCGTTCAAAAAAAGGGGGTTTGTGAAAAGAGATTCACAGAAAAGCGGCTACATTATGAACAGACCGTGACACTCAGAAAATTTTCCAAAAATTATGCTTTATTACACAGATATAAATATGACATATGGGCATTCGCCCTGGTTTACCATCACCTCAGTATGAGACAATAACACACAGACCTAAAACCATATAAAATGACATCAAGACCGGTCTAAATGTATGTGCAACAGAGAAAGTGACTACAAGAGGTCTAATATCTCTGTAGTACAAACACATA